AATTTTAAAGAGAAACCTAGTATCAGTTGAGATTGTGTGATCTTGCTTATCCAGTGGGTATATTTAGAAATCAGGTTGTTCTGATTTTATTACTCCTCTGATTATCCTAATTGTATTTTATTTAATTAGAAGCAGTGTGTACATAAGCCTGAGTGACTTTTTCAGAAAACACCATCGCAGTCTTCTTGAATTCCCTAGTAGTTTTATGACTGAATCCTGGTTGTAGACGTTTAAAACTTTGGATTTATAATTTTGGTTTATCTTTGCTTATAAAAGATACATTTCTATTCAATATAGAATTTTAGGTCTTTTTTAGATAGTGCTGTTAGAGCTCTTTAATCATATTTTATAAAATTCACAAATAATTATTGATCCCCATCAGTCATTGAGCACCTGCTAGGTTCCGTGGTAGTTACGATAGTTGGATTCTCTTTGTAAGGAGCCAGAGAGGAACTATGATATTGCTCATTTAGAAAAAAACAATAATGAAAGACTAAGCTATGATAATGCAGTGAAAATTTGTGTAGGCCAGACCATTTGGGGAAGCTTTACTGAGGAGATGAGACTAAATTTTTGTGGCATGGTGGTGGGAAGTAACTTAATTCCAGAGGCCTATTCAAGGGAAATGCTGAAATTCGTGTGCGTTGGGGGGTGGGGTGGGGAAGATGTGACAGCCATGACTAGGATGCTTCTCTTTTCCTCCAGTGCCCTTGGTACAGTGTTTCTCAGAAAAACAAGACATGCTGTTTTAACTTATGAAAGTTTACAAAATTGCACCACACGGAGATGTGTTTCACTGTAGCTCAGATGAGCTAAGAACACTTCCAAATTTGTGTTTCAAAACTTATTCACCATTTCTCTTGCAATTAAAAAAAATTCTCATGTGCATGTATGTGTTGATTTTTCTGTGCATATTTATTTGCAGATTACAGCTTTGTGCACATTCTTATGCTGGCAGAAAAAAACCCTTTTTTGTCTCTGGTTTGGCGGTTTGTGGCCAGCTGCGATGCCGGGGTCCCACTGCCGTGTGCCGCTCTGGTTAGAGGTGTGCTTGGCTCTGCTCAGCGGTAGTTACTGAGCTCGCTTGTGTGACACAGACCTGTTCTTTCTCTTCAGGTTATCACCAACCTAGTGAAAATGTTGAAGTCCAGAGACACAAGGAGAAATTTTTGTCCTCCAAATCACTGGCTGTCAGAACAAGAAGATATTAAAGCAGATAAGGTGTCAATGAAAAATCTTTTTAATATTTTTTATTAAAAATATTTTTCAGCTTTTGTCTTCCTAAGGAGAAAAATAATCCTTTAAAATTGTTTGTTTTATTACTTATTATTCACTAAGTATTAATGGTAAACCTTAACTACTAACTCTTTGGTTACATAATGGGCCATAGCACTAGCATTGACTCAGACATGCATTCTGAGTTTGTTATTAATCCTAATTTTCTTCGTTAACCTCAAGTTATATTGAAGTCTAATGATTCTTTGTTGATGTTGAAAAAGATATTGCTTTTATTGGCATTAATAATAAATATACAAGGTCTATCTGAAAATTATCCTGCCATTGTTAATATAACAAGAACGTTATGTGGCTGGATACTTTCCAGACAGCCCTCGTATGTTCAGTGCTTGAAAGAGATAGATCTCCTTAATTCTCCAGAGAAGCAGAGGCAAATTTGAATATTACTGAGATCTACATCTAAAACAGATTCCACAGTATAATATGTTAGAGAAAAATTTAAGTAACATTAACGGGGCATGCAGTGTTTTCATTTTTGTTTTTCGGAAAAGTCTTAAGTGGATTCATTTCAGAATCTTGGGGGCAGGAGATAGGGAAGAGAGGGGTATAGAAGAAATCAGGTTACAGAAATATTAAAGAAGAGAAAACATGAGTGCTTAGAACAATTTCATTAGCATTCCTATGTCCTCATGAGATATTTTGTCTTAAAGTGTATGGCTTCTAACGCCACTGACCAGGGTTAGCAACTGTGTCAGACCCTACAGCAGCGAACAGCTCCAGGACCCAGGCGGGGGTCTCCAAACCTTTCTCACTGAGAAGAAGCAGTCCATTGGCACATGGTTGGTTCTAGGTCTGGGGGACCCTACAGGATGGGTGTGGAGCGTCCTGTCACACTATAGAGCAAGGGAGCCATGAAAGGCTCCTGGGGTGTTGTGGCAGGATCAGGAGGCATTGGAAGGGCTCCAGCTGGCCACTAGAGGGAAATTTGAGCCTCAGTAGAAACAGCTGCCATGACTCAAATATCAGATGTGCTTAAATCTATGATTTAATAATACTAAAAAGAAAACTTCATTGGTCATTTTTGTAGGATACAAAGGAATCACCTCTTTTTTTTTTTTTTTTTGAGACAGAGTCTTGCTCTGTTGCTCTGGGTAGAGTACAGTGTCATCAGCCTGGCTCACAGCAGCCTCAAATTCCTGGTCAAGCGATCCTCTTGCCTCAGCCTCTCAAGTAGCTGGGACTACAAGCACATGCCATGACACCTGGCTAATTCTTCTATTTTTAGTAGAGACGGGATCTCACTCTTGCTCAGGCTGATCTCGAACTCCTGACCTCAAGCGATCCTCCCACTTCAACTTCCCAGGGTGCTGGGATTACAGGCGTGAGCCACTGTGCTTGCCCGCCTCATTATTTTGAATGCTGTTTTGACTAAAAGAAGTAATCAAGTATTTAGCCTGCCTTTCCTTTATGAACTGTACCTCAGGCTAACCAGGTGGTTGATGACGTGTGATCTTTCTCATAGAAGTATTCCCGTTAATCATAGTGAAACTAGAATCACCCCGTTCTGCAGGCCCTTGTGAGATAGAAGACCTGGCAGTGCTACTCCAAGTGTGATCCGTGCACTGGGCCTGCTGGTCTGAGGCTGTGTGAGCGTCCCCCCGGAGATGAGGGTCTGGTGCTGAAGGATAAACCATTGCACCTCTGCCTTACTCCAGAAAGTTGTGTTACAGGAAAATAGCAATTCAACCCAGCAGCTTGTTTAGGGACTCGGTTGTTTATATTCTGGCACAAGTTCTCTATCTCATCACCGACGTGGAGCGCAGTGCACACGCCACACGGGGAGTGGCTTTAGTCTCGCATGTGCCTCCCGTGAAGGAGCTCCCTGGACAGCTAGGAAACGTTCCTGCCAAAAAATTAAATCTGAATATGATGGAACCTCTATATCTAACTGCCAGCTTATAGGAAATGGAGGGATTAGAAGTACCTGTTTAACAACCCCATGAGGGTGCAATTAGCAAAATCCAGATCATGGGAAATTTTACTGGACAAAAGTTTCTGCTGCTTCATTAAAAATTGGAAGGGGTTGGGCGAGGTGGCTCACACCTGTAATCCCAGCACTTGGGAGACCAAGGTGGGAGGATCCCTTGAGCCCAGGAGTTTGAGGTTGCAGTGAGCTATGATGGTGCTGCTGCACTGTAGCCCAGGCGACAGAGCAAGACCCTGTCTCAAAATAAATAAATAAAAAAGTGTGATACATTTTGCTTCATGAAGTAATGATATTATGATGACTTACTATGTCTTGATGTTGTACATCATTAAATAAAACAATTAGAGATTTCTTTCGGCTGTATTAGAAATAGTAATTAAACTGCAAAAGTATGAAAGCTCAGCCAGCATAAAAGAGGGCATGGGAAGGTGGCATGGAAAGAGCATGAAGGTATTAGAGCAAAGAGAGGGTCCGGCCACTAGGAATGACTATGAAACACGGTTGTGCTCAGGTGTGACCAGGTAGAAGTTTGTGCAGGAAGTGCTGAACAAGGGTTGCCCCCGCAGGTCACTCAGCTCTACGTGCCAGCGTCCAGACACGTGTGGAGGTTCCGGCGCATGGGGAGGATAGGCCCACTGCAGTCCACCCTGGATGGTGAGTTTCCTAGGATGCAGGTGTATGCAGGGATGATTTACACACTGTAGAATTCACTCCTTTCGGTGTATAGTTCTGCGATTTTTTTTTTTGATAAACAAGATCCAGTCATGTAACCGCCACCAGGATAACCATGTAGAATAGTTTATTACCCCCAAAATTACCTTGAGCTCCTTGGTGGCCATCCCCTCCCCTAGCCCCAGCTCCTGGCAGCCACTGATTTGTGTGGTACCTTCACTTTCCTTTTTGCAGAATGTCTTAAACGAAATCACGTGGTCTGCGGCTCTGTCTGTCTGTCTGTGTTCGCTGCGCACGGTGCACTTGAGTCGGCGGTGCTGCGTGAGTCGAGAGCTGGGTCCCTCTTACTGCCCAGCTGTGTTCTGTTGTAGGGATGGCGTCACAGTCTGTCAGTCCGTTCACCAGAGGACATTTGGTTATGTGGTTGGTCCCTGGTGGTTCTTAATGCAGCTGATACAGACATCTGTGTAGAGGTTTGTGTGTGAATATGCAGTTTTGTTTATCTTGGATAAATATCTGGTGGTAAGAATCCTGAGTCATTTGGCAAATGTGTGCTCGTAAGAACCTGCAAACTGTTTATACCATTTTGCATTCAGACCAGCGTTGGGTGAGAGTTCCATATCCTAGTCAGGAGTTGGAATTGTCATTTTTTTAAAAATTTTATTTTGGCCATTTGAAAGGTATGCAGTGATATCTAATTGTGGCTTTAATTTGTATTCCCCAGTTGACTAATGATGTTGAGTGTGCTTTCATGTACTTGTTTTTTAATTATTGAGTTCTGAGAGTT